CATTCCTGGAAATGGCCGAGCCCATTCAGGCTGAAGTTGCCCAAGAGAAAAGAAAAGCAAGGAGCTTGTGGCAGACACTTCCAGCAGAGGGGATTCCAGTCTAGCCATTAAAGTTTTGCCAAGTTGGAAATGACTGAAAACAGGCTAGTAATTGGATCATAGGATCACAGGAAAGCAGGGCTGGAAGGGACCTTATGAGGCCATCTAGTTCAGCCCCCTGCTTAGGGCAGGGTCCTCCCAGAATAAACCATCCCACCCAAGTATCTAACCTTCTCTTGAAAACTTCCAGGGATGGAGACTCCACAACTCTTCTAGGTAGCCTGTTCCAATGCCTGACCACCGTCTAGTCAAAAAGTTCTTCCTAAACTTTCACTTGGGCCCCCTTCATCTGCATCTGCCCCATCTATAACAAGAAAATCAGCCTTGTTCCTTACATGGTCTCAGCCCCACAGCCAAGAGCTCTGCCCAGCCCCCTACCCTGGGCTAGCTGCTATGAAATGAGGAAATGCTACGTGTGTGAGGACCACCCACGCCAGTATACCCATCAGAGGCATGCTCCAGCACCCCCACAGCCACTGATTTCACAGAGTCTGATACAGTGCCTCCAGCTGGGAGAGGCTGGATTGCAATAGTCAGTGCTAGTGCTCATAAAGCAGGGGCGGGCAAAATGCGGCCTGGGGGCTGGATGTGGCCTGCCAGGCCATTCTATCTGGCCCACAGGGCCCCCGAAAAAATTTAGAAAATTAATATTTATCTGCCCTGGGCTGCCTGTCATGCAGCCCTTGATGGCTTGCCAAAACTCAGTAAGCGGCCCTCTGCCCAAAATAATTGCCCGCCCCTGTCATAAAGGCTCCTGCACTGCTCCTCTTGTTGGTAAAGGAGCAGTGCAGGAGCAGGGGTAAAGGAGCAGTGCAGGAGCAGGGGGTTCTCCGGCTGCCTTCAGGCCTGCTCCTTCCTCTTGGCAGGTGGGGTTAGGGGTAGAGTTAGATCCGTAGCAAAATGTTCCCAGCTCACAGCTGGCAGCTCTGGGGCCTGGGTAATCAATCCATTTTCCTTGAATCTCCTTTTCACCTTGTTTCTTTCAGTTTCTGCCTGAAGGGGGAAGTAATGGATGGAAAAAGCCCTGTGGTCATTGACTATACCCCGTACCTGAAGTTTACACAGAGGTAACTCACTGGGACCTGAGGATTCAGTATGTGTCATCCGCAGTCTGCTTGTGGGAGGCAGTGCCTAGGAGCTCAGCACCCTCAGGCTTTGGGGTTCAGTACCTAGTGACCGGACCCTTACTGGGTGTGTCAAGCCACACGGAGAGAGGCAGCCCCTGCCTTCAAGTGCTTGCTGCTGAAACAGACAGGGGCAGGAAGGGGTTTGCCCATACCATGCCAGTGGCAGAGCATAGGTAGGAGGGCTCCAGGGCGCCAGGCAGAGACCATTGCCCACCAGAACATGCTGCTCATCATGAGAGAGGCTGGGCAGCAGCAGCAGCTTCTCCCTCTCATGGATTCCTCGTCTTTGTGATATCGCACAATGGCTGGCCTGCTACAGCCCTTGGCATCATTATGTATTGAGACTGTGCTCCATGGAGGAAGGTAGGGTAGCTCAGGCTTTGCCCATGGGTTCAAGTTCCAGCTCTATCACTAGGTGACCTTGGGAAGTCACTTTACCCTTCCATGGGCCTCAGCTTTCCCTCCTGTAAAATGAAGGCAGTGGTACTGACTTCCTTTGTGCAGCATTGGTGGTAAAAGCTGGGAGCTATTGTTCCTGCCTGACACGTTCAGCTGGGCAAGCCCCAAAATGCAGCAAGGAGGCTGTACAGTGATGTAGCTGCATTGTGCAGTAACCCCTCTGTAAGATTATTCTTTCCAACCCTGGGGGC